CCCGTCCATCGCTGAGTGCGCGGTGGTTGGCGTCAACAACCGGGCCGGTACTCATTGGCCCCGGGCTTATGTTGTTCAGAAAGTTGGGGCACCGGTAGTTAATGAGACAGACATTGAAAAATTTGTTGCAGGTATATTTTTATATACTGTACTGTATATTATGATAATATTATATTATATTATATTAATATACTGTATGATTTATAATTTGTTATATCATAATGTTAATGTAATTGTTTATTTAAATGGACAGACACCCTGGCATATACTAAACAATTGAAAGCCGGTGTGGTATTCGTACAGTATATTCACCGTATAGGGATGGGCAAGGTGGATCGAAAATATTACCGGACATTAGTTAGCCAGGAGATATTGGATTAAATGATGTGTTTATGTAATAAAATATAACATAATTTATGTTTTAAAAAACAATACAAAATTACAGTTTTTATTGTTTTATTGTTTTAAATGGTAGAGTGGTGTGCAGTATTAATTACATTTTGGTTTCTCATTTACGTTTAGAAAAATTTAATTATTTATTAAATATTTGTTAGACGGGAGGTATTGGATTAATTATCAAAAATTATATTTATAATTTAATATTTGAGGGACACCATTCTGAAACGATGGATGTGTTTGTGCTGGCAAACTGTGAACTCAAGTAATTTACTTAATATTATAATAGAACCAAATGCATTACTATATAGTATTTAGTAAAATACTTGAATTTAGTTTGCTTGCACAAATACATCCATCGTTTCAGAATGGTGCATGTCATTTGTTTATTTGAATGTGTATACCAATTTTGTCCAAAGTCCATTGAGCAATATAAATTCTAAAGATTTTATGGTGAAAAGTTATCAATATATTAATTTACTAGTTTAATATAAAAATTATTTGTATTGGACATGTAAATATTTTTAAAAATACTGTACTGGATTATACTGTACGGGAATCATAGATATTTATAGCATAGTAAGCCTATTAATATAAAAATTGTTATTATAAAATAATTGAACATTTTAACAAAAATTATATTTAAAATTTCATTGAGTAATGCTTTACTGTCGTGTAATATCAATTTTATTGGGTATGACCTATTGGGAGTATATGCCCGATACGTAGCTAAATGCTAAAATACAATCTATTTTTTGTTTTTTAAACTCAACTTAAAACTTTTGTGCATTAGGTCTCACCATGCAGAAGGGAGACATTTATTTTGCAGTGCAAGCTGTAAATATAACCTATTCAATGATTTCAATACTAACAAACAGTGTTTCTTATTTATGAAAAGCATTGAATAGGTTATATTTACAGCTTGCACTGCAAAATAAATGTCTCCCTTCTGCATGGTGAGACCTAATTATTGTCTTCCCAGACCATGAAAATAATTGGCAGCTCTACTTATAAGCCGTATAAGTATTGAAATCATTTAATCAATATAAAACAAACTTAAAGCTTATATAATTAAATCAGATTAACAAAATATATTAACTACTCAATGAATTTTATAGTAAATACCTAATATTAATAAAAATGATAAAAGTTAATTATTGAAGGTATTGTAATATTTAGAGATAAATATTCTTATTTATAAGTTAAATAATAAGATTATGTAGTGTAAATGTAATGATTAAATTATTTATGAACACATTTTCACATATAAAATATTGTGTTTATATTCAATGTAAACGGTTTTATAAAAATAAGTTTTATAAATATCATTATAAATACTAAATATTATAAAATACTTTTATATACCTAATTTTTTATAAGCATTCTAAGCATTTTTATTATGATGGATTTGTTTACATTATTTGTTAAATAATTTATTGTATTATAAAAATCATATATAATATATAAAAATATAGCAATACTTAACAGTAAATACAAGTGAAATTCCCATATCTAATACACGATAAAAATATTTTTAATGCATGGATACCAAGGATATTGATAAACTTTATTCATAATCATATAAAACAGTTATTATACTCCATAATTATAAGGTGAATATTTAAAATTTTTTTGTTAGGCGTTCCCATAAGCTAATAAAAATGTCCCAGGAGACACCGAGAACCGAGTTAATTGCGTACGGTAACATAATTTCTCTATTGGACAATATGGGCGCGCTAGAATTTTCAAACTATTTACTCGTCATAATAAACGAGTGCCAAACAAAAAAGGACGAGATGATTAACTTGAAACGCAAACTCCGCAACCGGAAAGTGGACGCCGTAGCTCAACAGGATAAGTATAGGACTGATAAAATCTTATGGTGCACCGTGTCGTGTGCTAGCTTAGTCGCGGGTGGGGTCGCCGCGGCTATACCCGGAGTCAATTTGATAGTTGCGGGAGCAGTGTTGATCACAAACGTCGCCGCAATTGGTGGTAATATGAAGTGCGACAGAGACAATAATCGCGAAGTGCTAAAGATTGTTAGCAAGGTGAATAACTTGTCAGATAACCTGAAGTCGACGGCGATGATCGTGTCCGAGAGAAAGGAGGAATTCATTCGGGAACGCATACGACTGATTGAGGCCGGAATTAGCGAGGAGTACGCCACCTTGGTGCTTATCATAGCCATGCTACGAAATAAGACTCGCTTTAAAAGTACGCTTCCAGCCCAAACGAAGCGACCACACATAAAGTATCAAGCTCCATTTACATCGAGCTTCACGGTCGCTACTGCATTGCAGTCTGCGAAAAAGTACGGACTCTATGCGTTCGAAAAAGCGCCAAAATTAATCAAGGTGTCGCCAGAGTTTATGGGTGGAGTGGCCGCGGGGCTGGCAGTATTGGGTGTGGCCTTCTCTATATACGATTGCGCCAACGCGTGCCTCAAAACTAGTCCGGCTATTGTGGTCATCGACGAAATGGTCGACGTATTGACCAGCGGTCAGGAGTCGTTGGATTACTTCATCGGCCTCTTGAATACCATAAGGATTACAATCAATCAGCAGGAGATCATTAATAGCCGAATGGAAATGAGGGCTGAGATCGAGAGTATCCGACAAGAAGTGCGGGAATCCATGCATGACCTGCACCTGGAGTTCTCCGGCTTTAGACGTGAGGTCCGGGATGGAAACAGGAGGCAAGATGATACATCTCAAAGGATCCTGGACACCCTGTCCAGGCTTGATCGCATCTGATTGTATGCTTGATTATTTATATGCTCAAAGCAGTTTTGGTCTATTTTAAGTCTTAAATATATATATATATATACTGTAATTGGCTTTTATATTATTTTTCAAAACTCTAAGTTAGATATGCTTGAGCTTTTATTTCTGCAATTATGCTGATTTTTATTACTATATAATATATTATGTATTCAGATTTTATGTTCTAAGATTAATTATCTTATGATTATTAAAAATTATGAACTGCTCAGTAATATTACAAAATATGTATTAAAGTATTGACAGATAGGACTATTAATAAAAACAAAAATATTTGTTGCAATTTCAATATCACACTTATCTAAATATATCTAAACAGTATATGTTTATATGTGTTTGTGCTTGAGTTACAGTTTGCTTACATGTTTACTTAGGATTATTTAACAAACAGCAGTCACCAACATGTAACCGACATAATGTCTTTAATTTCTTTAACATTTGTTTTACACATAATTTAATAAATGGTATGTTGATAAATCTTTTAATTATAATTTTGCTTGGTAATTTATTTTTAAACAAATATGTATTCTTTATATTCAAAATTTTATAACTTTAATAAACAATCATATCTTATTGTTATAAATTAAAAAATAAAATTACATAAAGGATTTTTAAATATTAATTTAGAAACTTTGTACAGCTATTTAAGTTAATTTATAAATTGTATTATTATGGTATATAGGTTTGCCAAGCATCTAGCATATTTCCAATATATCAAAATTTATTAATGAATCGAGATGATAATTAGAATGTTTATTATATAAAATAATTAGCAAGATATAATTATTAAACTACTTCAAATGAATATATGAAAAGCCAAGAGCTGAATGGTTACATCT